CTCTCGCTTCCTTTTCTTCTCCTTCGCGTTTCCTCTTCGTCACTTTCGATCTCCTCACTCTCCCACTCTGGTCACTCTGACTCCTTTGCCCCCCTTTTGCTCCTTTCCTTACTGACTGCATCTGGCACACCCTTCAGCTTAGGTTCGCTCATCGTTTTTACTCCAAATCTACTATCCTTCTCTTAAATCTATCCCCACCCTTCATTTTGTAGCCTTGCAAAACCCCCGATTAACTCCCTGGCTCGTTCGATTTCCATCCTCAGTCGAACGAACCATACCTCTCTCCTTACACCTCCGCTCCCGCTCCCGTCATAGCCCACGCACTAACTTTCTTACTTACTAACCTCCTAAACTACCAACACATTACCAAGTCTGACTACGGAATCCGGATTGCCCGCCTCGAAAACTCCGGATCCCAACCTTCTTCTGCCTGTTTTCGTCAAGAAACGGGAAAAATCAATGATCTACCTCCCCACTTCTGCACATGCACCTTGCGCTGAAACCCGTCCAAGTTCAATCACTTTCCTCCTTAACCCCCCCCGCAGTCTTTCACCATCGTAGCGCCCAACCCACTACTCTATTGCCCAATCTGACGCCGCCAGTCAACTCGCGACGCCCAAAAACCCCCATTTAGAGCCTTCGTTCAACGAAATCGGCCAAGAAATGGCCGAGATACATCAACTTTTACCCCTTTTTGTATCTGTCTCCGCCATAGCCCGCGCAGCTCATGTCTCTACAAAGTCTAATTTTACTAACTTACCTCTGATTCCGCCTTCGCCAATCGATTCACCCTAGACTAGAACCCCCAAATCGCCTCTTTCTCCCCCCGATTCCATCGAAGAACGGGCGGGCTACGATTTTCTCAGTTTTCTCCCGCTCGTTCCTTCGTTCGCCATTACTCGCGCTTACCCCCGCGACGTTCTCCTCTACCCCTGCACGTACCTGGTAAGTAGGGCTGCCCAAGTTCAGCCCATCCTTCTCCTTGACTGCCCCGCCTACTACCTGACCCTCTTCCGCAACTCCCCGTCACTCCCCCGCTTTCGTGCTCGCTACCTGCTGCCTGCCGCCTCAGCGCCCATCACACTCTCCTTGCCAACAACTGCCCGGCGCTGCCCGACACGTACTCGGCGCCTCGCCTGGCCCGACTTCACCCCGCAGTGGTCCGCCCGTCAGCTCTTCCTCTCTCTCTCTGCGCATGCACTGGGTGCAAGCGCCTGCCTGGGTTCATCCACCTCGCGACACTCCTGGTTGCTGGCGCCGATCTGCTGGCGCTCGCACCTAGCACCGCCGCCAGCGGTAGTCCGGTCTCACACTAGCAGGTAAGCGAATCAACAACGAAAAAAAAAGCCAGAAAAACCTATGCCCCTGCTCGATTTATGCGTGTCATCCTTGCGCAGGGCAATGCTAATCTTCTCTGTATCGTTCSAWTTTTGACGGATGTCCCGAAGGACTTTGTACCGGCCAGCGCCCGCYCGACAGCCAGCCGGCCTAAGGGCCCTTCGGAGGGGACCTGGCATTAGATGGTTCGACCAATCTTTGCCCCTATACCCAAGTCCGACAAACGATTTCGCACGTCCGTATTGCTATGAGCCTCCACCATATCTTTCCTTTACCCGATGCCCCTAGGGCCTAGCCAGGGCAATTGCCTGCAGCTCTCCCGACGGGCGTTCACCTCTTTCTTCCTGCGGCACCCCGTATATGTACCCGACCCGGATTCGTACCGGATTCGCCTTGCACTTCAGCAGTTCAGGGTTGTACTCACTGAGCTAGGCTCTTGGGTGCCTGCTACACCCACGACACCACGCTTAGGCAAAACAACGTCGGGCGAGGCTCCAGCGTAGCTTCAAAAACAGTTCGTAATTGCACTTCAGCCGCCTCGTAAATACAACACACTCCACGCGACCCTACTGCCGTCTCACGTCCCCGAATGGGATGCGATAAAGAGAAACCGACAAGGGAAAAATAAGATAAAAATAAACCTAGTATTACCGAGGGACAGCGGGGCTGTTGGCACGTCATCGGTGCCGCAGGTCGGACCCATTGCCGCGCTTGCCAATAAAACCAGAGGGGGATAGCCCCTACCGGGCCCTCACCCCTCGGTTTCCTCCGCGCCGCTCCGCTGTTCCCGCACCGACGCCCGCCGGCCTCGACCCCCAAACCTCCATAGTGTCAGTCCAATGTCGTAACCTATAGGGCTAAGCCCAAGCCTGGTGCCAGCAGAAGTGGAATCCTAGATAAAGTGATAATGCATGGTACTCAGGGCCAAGGAATCGCCTTGGGCCACTTCTTGGCCCGCGCCTGCACACACGGCCGCGGAGAGCTCGCGCCGGTTCCCCGGCCGTGTCGCGACTATCCCAATCTGGCCGTATCCTTAAGGTCCCATCATCTGGATCCACCACATGTCTGTATATGCTCACTGAGCCGTCAACCGTAATAGACAGAAGAGAGGAAAAAAAAGTATTCATAAATCCTGGTTTAATAAAAAATAAGTAGTATTTATAATAACACAAAACGACTGGTGTCTGCGCCGACTTTACAGCTCTGATCAAAATGAGAAGATCACGCACGCTTTAAACCTGCGCACCCACACACTCTTTATTCTAGTCAACCATCCTGTCAATGTAAACGGTGGACACTGCCGCAACTCACGCGCTACATTCAAACTTTAAATCTAAACTTAGTTTTTGTCACGAGTAAGAACCAGGGCGGATACCCTTGCAAGGGTATTCGTGCCGACAGCTTACCGGACCATATTAAGCGACGTCCCCGTCGCTTCGCCAAATCAGAAAGCTATAAGCCCACCCATACTCCAAATGCTGACGAGAAATGAGCCAATCCGATTAGCCGACAAACACAGGGTAGAGGCCTCTATCAAAACATGTCTCTACAACTATATGCTGCTAGGTTTCTAACCTGGGCCTCTTACCGCCAAAAAATTAGGACGCTGACCACATAAGTTCCAAAGACCTTCCCAATCGTTCTCTCCCCGGTCCTAGACAACCTTCGGCTTCTCGTTGGGTGTCCCTAGTCCTGGCAAAAACTAGGGATGCGGGCCTTAATCGAGACCTTTGAAGGCACTCTCGCCTTCCTTCTCAAAAATTTCTCGCAATCAAATACACATAAGTATATATGTATACTTAATATCCGCTCAGCTCTTTCTGCAGTCTAGTACAGAAAGGCTAGGTCTTCACCTTGACCCACCATAGCCTGGCTGATCGGACCAGGACCACGGCCCACCGCATTGTTATTTAGTAGCAACATCCTCGTTGGTTACGCAACGATAGGTTTTCTCCTGATAAGCATTCAATCAGGATTTTCAAAAAAAAATCTCAACCATCACTATCCCACGGAGTAATTTCACTAGGGCGGGCACCCCACCTTAAACTCTTACCCACGCGGTCCCGCAGCCAGGTTGCGCCGGCTAGCAGCCATCCAATGGGGTTACGCCCTAGAGGTACTGACTTATTTTCCGTTAGCTTGACCTTTCTTCAATATGTCTCAGAATTAGCACCAGTGGTTAGACGGGGGCGTCGCAAAATAAAATCACTGGCCCACTGCGAGATGCGCAGGGGTCCGAACGCATTTATCAGCCCTCCCTCAATAGGCATGGCATCCTTCGAACGCTTACAGACAAAATCACCGCTAAAGACACCAGGCCGTGACCCCTGGCTTGATCAGAGCCAGCAGCCACCCACCCTGATACATCTCTCGCCCTGCACTCGTTGCGAATTTCTCAAACATTCCAAACAAAAGTGACCCTTTTCGTCATACTTTATCACTCATCAGACAACTCGTCATGCCATAAATCAATTTACTCACTTCTGAGGGTGATTCTTCCAACCATAAACCATTCCCCTTTTCCAACAAAGGGACTCTCATCATAAACAAAATACCCCCTCTTCCAAAAATCACGAGGGGTTTCGCCATAAAACAATACACTCCCTCTCCCAGAAATCACGAGGGGTTTCGCCATAAAACCAAACTTCCCCTCCTCAAAACTCGAGGGGGTCTCATCATAACGCACATCATCACAAAAACATCCCCTTTTCCAAAATCCAAGGGGGTTTATCATAAAACAAACATCACTAAGAGATCATCTTATGGGTCCTCATCACAACTTAAGCAATCAATAATCAACATGGTAAGCATTTTGAGCCTCCAGGGCTCATAAACCTTCAAAATCCTCACAACCTTTCACAAACGGCTGCGCTTCCTCCCCTTATACTTTGCCCTATCAACTGCCCGTGGGCAGGTCGCACAAGTATACCGAGGAGTAGATAGTTTTGCTTACAATCATATTCACAGTACCCAGGGCAAAATAAGATGCTTTTCACACACTGTCCACACAAACCCACCATACATCAGAGTATAACCACACATGTGAGAGAGACAAGTGATCGTCACATAAAAGAATGGTCCCTGAAATAAAACCTCATCATAATATACACTCAGGGAATAAAATGCCTCACACAGAAAGTGTCTCCAAATCATAGCTCACTCAACTCAAGCCACACCAAACCCATACTGACAACAACCCCTAGAATACATGTCAGATCTGTCTTTCAAAACCAGTGCGTAGGCCACCTAAATATGTACATGCCTCATCTAAATGATCCTGATCCTCAAGATCCCAGCTTAGTAGGAACACTAGAGTTCAGATCTAGACTAGTAGCAATCATCAAAAAAGTTTTATATGTCTAAGAGGGTATCACACAAAACCTAAGCTGATGCCTCACAAGACACTCGCCCACTTACATAGACAAACCGGCCCTACCTCCTCAACTCCTCCTGGTTTTGCCTATATAACTGAGCCCTAAGTCCATCTGCGGACTTCTCTACTATCCTACCCTGTCTATCATACATCTTACCCCCTACCTCTGAGACCTTCCCTGCTGCCTTATCCTCAAGGAACTCGAGACAGTCCAGAGCCAGATGCACGCCTCTCTTGCAGTAGAAGCATAGCTGATCAATCTTCCTCTTGAACTTCTTCTTCCTGGGCTGAGGGGGTGGCGATGAAGGAGATCATACCAAGGTACTGACAACCCCCTGCTGCTCTGATCGAGGAGCTGCGGTACTAACGACCTCCTGCTGCTCTGTCTCAGGAACCGGTCCCCCAGACCCAGATCCAGTAGCCCAAAATCCCAGTCTGCTCCTCAAATCCCCTGTCACTGGGACGTACTCATGCGTGTCCAACCTCTGAGGTCTCCTCTCGAGTGTCTCTCCTGGCATTGCAATGGGATGCTCCTCAATCTCCTCTGGCCCATACTCAGGTGTGCCCAACCTCTGGAGCCCTTCCTCGATGGCACCCTCCGCCTCAATCCCCATCTCTCTCTCAAGAGGCTCCTCTATCCTCTGCTCAGGTGAAAACAAACTCACCTCCTCCTGCATAGTATGCACCGTCTCAAGGAGCACGCTCATGGATCCCTCTGCTGAGCCCTGAGCCGGTTTACTGCTAGATGGTGGTAACCCCTCCTCAACTGCCAAAGGTACGACTGGGCCCGCCGCTGCTACTGGCAGCGTCGCGAGCTCGGTAGGGGCTCTGAACTCGAACACCTCTCTCTCCGCCTGTCTCTGGGCTTTTGCCTCCTCTGGCTCCAAGATAACTCTCCCCATAGGTGGCTCCTGGCGACGCTCTGCTGCAGATGGCTATCCCGGTAACCCACGTCTTGGCTGCCTCTGCTCTCCCTGCCTGCTGCTCTCTGTCTTGTCCACCTTTCCTTGGGTTTGCTGCCGCAGGCTCTCAATGATAGTTGCCTGGCTGGCCACCAATGCCTTGAGTTCTTGGATTTCCATCTCCATAGCCCCCAGGCGTACTCCATGGCTTGCTTCGTTCATCTTCTTCCCTGCCAGATCGCTCTCCAATAACAAGTGCCGGTCAAAAGTCGTCTTGGCCAGGAACTTGATTTTGCGATCTAACCTCTCTTCCGCCTTCCTTGCCACCCCAAACCCGACTCTGACTGGCGAAGGAACCTCCTCTCCTTTCTGCTCCCAGAAGTCCCTCCACATCTCTGGGATCTCCGGGGCCCTAGCTGGCGCGCTGGGTGGCTGACCTGGGAGTGCTCCCGCTGCCTCCGATCTGCCTCTCCTGCTGCTGCTCCGGAAGCTCCCCCGCTGCCTCCAACCTCTGCCTCTCTTGCCATATCTCATCTATCCGCCTGGTTCTCCTTGCCCTCTTTTCTTCAGCCGTCTCTCCAGCTGGCGCCCTTTCCCTCGTGCGGAGGTCGACCCTCTTCGGGATCTCTGCCTCCATCTCCTTCTCGGGCTGGCACGACTCCTGGCGAGGCTCTGCAGGTGCTAGCTCCTCCAGGTCTGGGTGCTCCAGGGCATGAGCTGCTAGGTGCTTGTCAATCAGGATCAAGGTTTCTCTCCTTACAGTTGCCCTCTCTCTCCTCCTTTCTGCCCTTTCTTCTGGCGAAGGAGCCTTTCCTGATGAAGGTAATGGGGCCTCCTCTCTCTGCAACCTCTCCCCCGCCAGGTGAGTGCTCCCTGGCGCATCCCCGAGTCTCAAACCCACCGCTGGCGTCTGTGGGGGCGTGTCCTCTCCAACCTCTATCACTTCCTTCCCTGCACGTCTCCCCTCATCGCCCAGCCCTCTCTCTCGCTGAGTATCGTGGACCTCCTCCTGTGGCACCTCCTCTCGTGGTATCTCCTCCTGTGGCACCTCCTCTCGTCATACCTCCTCCGTCTGCTCTCCATGCTCCTCACCCCGAGGCGACGCCCTCCACCGGGAGATATCCAAATGCGTCTCCAATTCCCTCAAGGGCCCCTCAGATGCTGGCGACTCCTCCTGCGTGCGTGTTGGTCACCTCCTCAATCCACCTTCGGTAAACCGATGGAACTCCACTGGTCCCAACCCACACTCAGGGTATGCCCCTCTCTCCTCAGCGTCTGGCTCCGGCTCCGGTTCCTCCTCTCTCCTGGCTAGGGTCTTCCGTCCTCCTCGAGACGGTCTCGCCTCCCTGGGCTCAGGGTCCCTCTGCCTCCGACTCCTTTGACGCCTCTCGACTCTGGGCTGAGGGGGCTCTGGTCGTCGAAAGGCCTCTCTCGGATGTGCCCTGCAGCTCTCCCAGTCCCGAGCCATGTCTCTGACCTGCTTAGCCAGTGCCCTCTCCGCCTTTCTGGTCCAGAGGGGTAACGTCCTCGCCCACTCATTTCTCGGTATACCCTGCCCCTGCATGAACCACTCGAAGGCAGGGATAAAGTCTGCCACATTTTCGATTTCCAGACGGATCGGCCTGCCATCTGGTCCCACAGGCGAGGGTCGCAACTCCTCCATCCTTGTCTCCACCTCCTGCCTCGTCGTCGCCTCCCTACGAATCCGGGCAATGGGTTCCTCGAACCTGCCTGCTTCCCTCAATCTCTCAATCGCCTGAGCCACGATCCAGCCCATACGCCTCGCATGCTCCCAGAAACCGTCCAGGAATAACTCGATGTCCCCATCATCGTAGACCGGTGTACTCTCTCGATGGTGAGGCCCATGCCGCTCATATCCTCCTGATGCGCCCAACGGCCTCTGAGGCGGCCGTGTCCCCTTGCCTCCTCTTCGCATGACTGTCTTTGTAAAGTCAGACCTGCACAACAGGCGAAGGAGACAACAGACACACATTGGGGTAAGCAAACAGGTGATAATCAAAGCAAGCTCATACCAGACCACACTCATACAGCATGCATCCTACCTAACCTACACACCCTGGTACTTCTATTATAAAGGCAGTCAGGTCATCTCTCTTACCTCTTCTCTCGCCACAAATTTCTTCAGTCGCGTTCCAAATACCCAGTCCTTCCACTCTGTCCCATTTAGCTCCTCAATCTGGTACACTCCGAAGTCTCCGACCTGTACGATCCGGTAGGGACCTAACCACCTCTTATCAAGCTTCCTAGACCATTGTTTTTCCAGTGATGAATCGTAGGGAAGCACGACATCTCCAACTGCCAAGGGTACTTTCCTCACCCGCGCAGACTGATCCCATCGAGCCTTATCATCCATACGGCTTCTCGCCACCTGATCAGACGCCTCCTGGATCCTTTCTTCTATCGCCCCTATCTGCCGCGCCCGAATATCGAGCAACTCTTCAAATGACAGGTTAACTTCCAGATCCTGGCGCCTCCATGTCTTAAGAAAGTTCTCGATAGGGAAGGTGGCATGCCTTCCATACCACAGTGTTGCCGGTGCATATTTGGTGGATCTTTTTACTGTAATGTTCTCAACAAAGAACCCCGCCCTTAGGTATCTTGGCCATTGATTAGGCCTACCTTCGGTCCACTTAGCAAGGAGACTCGTAATGGTACTATGTTGTCTCTCCACGGGAGCATTTGCCTGGGGGTGCGCGGCCGTGGTGTAGTTGGCGGCTACACCATACCTTGATAGCAATTATCACACCTCCTGGCAGGTAAACTCCGATCCCCTATCCATTACGAATTCCCTAACGAAAGGATAGCGCAGATAGTACTCTTCGATGCAGCTCACCAGGACTAACCCGGTCTTTGTGCGAATAGCACGCCCGTGTACGAAGCCAGACAGGTTATCGCGCGCATCGAAGATATAGTTATAGCCTTGATCCCCAAGCGGCATAAACAGTAGATCGAGATGCACTACAGCCCCCACCTCTCGCTCTAGCCTTGGATGCAGCGGCTTTCCTTGCCTTAAACGGGATCTCTCCTGGCAGGGTACGCAAGATCGGCAGAACTTCCCGACCATATCCATCATCCCATCCCAGTAGTACTACTCACTTATCTTGGCATACGTGGCTTGTACCCCTCGATGCCCTCCTGCAATGCCATCATGAAGCGCTGCTACGACGTCGATCTGACGATTCTTACCGCAGACGACGCTCCTGGGATTCCCCGCTTCTCTTCTCACGAAAAGGTGATCGTCTCGCACTAAATAACGTTGCACCATCCTCTGAGCTCTATCGCTTGCATCCCTAAGCAACATTTCACATGACAAACGAAGCCCCCGCTCTAGGTAGATCCCGCCGTACTCCTCTGCACGAAAAACCTCCTTAATCTCCTTTTCCTCGAACTCGTCGTCCTGGCTCTCGGGCACTTCGTCCACATTCCCTGTCGGGTTCAACGAGCCTGACTGGTCGAGGCCGTCCTGCAATAACGTGTTGACGATGAGATACATTCCTCCTATCAGGTCCTCATGCCGTTCTACTTGGCCAGGCCCTTCCTCAATCGTTCTCATGTCCTCCACCAGGCTATGCGAGCTGGCCAACGCTAACTCCATCATCCACTGAACATCTTTACCACCCCAAGGATCCTCTTCTTCAAAGGGTTTGAGGACTAGATCGGCCCTCCTTTCATACCCATTCGGCGCTTGCCAGATAGGATAGCCTACACAGCTGGGCACTCGCGACGACCACTTGTTGATGTGGAGACGAACATCTTCTTCCTGATCCAGAAATCCGTCAACTGGGGCCGTATTCTCCACCGCCTCCCCTTCCTATTTATCCCAGTTGATCCGACTCAGCCCGTCCGCCCGGTTCTTACTACCAGGAATCCGTTCCAATTCGAAGTTGAACATCCAGATGTATGTCAGCCATCTGGCAACCGTCGGATCCGATGGAACGTAATTCCTTAGAGAGTAGGCCAGGGCGGTCGGATCCACTCTCAAAATAAACCTCCTGCCGAAGATGTAGTTCCGAAAGATTCGCAGATAATGGAGGACGGTAATGGTCTCCCTTTTGAACTAAGAGTAGTTCCTCTCTGTCGTACAGAGGGTCCGACTCTCAAATCGCAAGGGTCATTCCTTTCCCTCCATGTCCGCCTGAATTAGAACTCCTCCTAAGGCAGTTGGCCCCGCATCTGTTTCGACTATGAAGGGTCGTGTTTTTGTGACATCATAATCTGGCGCTCCTAACACCAACCCTCCTTCTCGAAATTCCTCCTTCATTCTGACCACCACCTCTTCTTGTTCTTCACCTCAAACCCATTCCTGATCCTGACAGACTAACTTCCTCAGGTGTTCAGTCTTAGCAGCAAAGTTCTTGACGAAGGCCCTCCAAAATCCACACGTACCAAGGAAGCTCCTGATATTAGTTATTGAGTGGAACGGAACTGGCCACTCAGTAATCTTGTCCGTCTTCTTCACATCCGGCCTTTGGCCCTTCTCGCTGCATACAAATCCTAAGATAGTCGCTTTCTTCATGCAGTGTCTGGATTTGGCCCCGCTCGCCGTGAGGTTATGCTCCTCGAGCAGGCTCAGGACTTTTTCAAGGTCCTGAATATGCTTCCAGACACAGCGCCTCACCCCTGGCGAGACTTCGTCGCTTTCCTTCACTGCCGGCCCCTTCAACGCCAAATCATCGATGTATGGTTGTGTGATATGGGGGCTGACTGACTGCATAGCCCGAATCATGGCCCGTTGGACCATTGCTACCGCATTGGTCCACCCTTGTGGGGTCACGTTCATGTGGATTAGCCCTCGCGGCGTGTGCATAGCCGTCACAGGCCTGTCCGGCGGGTAGACTGGGAACTGATCATATCATGAGTAAAGGTCTATAAGTGAGATTATAGGTCTTCCAACACAGGATTCTGATAGCGTGTCTGCATTGCGCAACCCTCCAGCATCCCGCACGGTCACCGCATTCAGTCTTTGCAAATCTTGCACCCACCGCAGCGTCCCGTTAGGCTTGATAAAGCAGAACCACGGGGACGCATACGGTCCACTCAAATAATCGGCGACGTGCGTACGTATTTTGTCGTCGAGGTAATCCACCACCTTCCTTTCCTCGTCAGGATTGGGATATCGCGCCCCTCTCATATTCCAAGGCTTATGTGGCACGGTATGGATGCGGATCATAGGTATCTTGTCCACATCCAGCCTGCCACGCTCCTCGTCACTAAACGCATAGGCGCGATGTCTCCTCTTCATTAACTCCACCATCAATGTTCGCTCATGAGGCAGTAGGAAGTCGGGCTCCCCTATAATCAACTTCCCGTCGTTCCCTTCGTTGATACGACATGGCCCTGCTAGATCACTTTTCCTCATTCGTCGTATCAACCCTCGTTCCCTCTCGTAGTATGCTTCCTCATCTTCTGTAACAAGGACGGGAACCGGACGACACTTCTTATCTACCGTCTTGTACCGCCTTTGGGAACCCTGCTTGAGCCGTCCCCTAAAAAAGATCGACTCACAGATTGTGCTTGCGCTGATGCGGGGTTCCTTCCGCTGCCCGGGAGCCGATATACCAGCTCCAACCTTTCTGCCTCGGGGCATTCCAGAACCTGCTCCCTCAGAGCCTGGATGGCATCCGGATCTGCCATCTCATGCGCGGCCACCAAGTTCATGGCCTTCCCAACATCTGACAGGCTGAGAGAAAATGCTTCCACTCTCTCTCCTGCTTCGGGCTCTGCCCGGAGCCTCCGACGCTCACCTTCCGACTCTTCAATTGTGAATGATCCTGGATTGGGCCGGTTCCTTATACTCCTTGGCCCTGTATTTCTACAGGTAATTATTTCATAATTCCCGTAGGCAGGATCGCATAAGAGGAGGATCAACGTCCCGTCATGCTTATTGAATATCACGGTCACCGTCCTGCTTAGGAATGACCTCCCCAGGAGGATTCCGTGATCCACGTCCGGCATGATGAAGAAGCAAGCCCGGGCCTTCACCTTTCCAACCTCGATGAGTACATTCGAGGCTGTCCCACAAAATACGGCCTTGCAGCTGGCTCCGTGCAAAATACCGCAGTCGGAACGGTCTATATCCAGCCCGAATCTGATCGCGTCCGCCTCCCGAATAATGTTCATTTCTGCCCCTGTGTCCACCATTCCCGCGCACTTGGATCCCTTCACCACCAAATCCACCGTGCCGCAGGCTACGCACTTCCAATCCATCTTCGTGCCTGACTCCGCCCACTCTGCCTCCTTGGGCAGGATTGTACCCAGATGGACATTGGGCATCAAGCGTCGCGACAACCTCCCTTTCAGTTCATCGTGGAGTCGCGGGGCCGACGTTAGTATTTCCTTTAGGGTCATGAGGTCATTATGCCCTTCCAGCAGTCGGTTGATCACTTTCTTCACGTCAAACCCTTCCTCCAATCAAACCTCATACTTCTTCCTTTTGGGCGGTCCGTCGTGTATGACCGGTTCGGCTTCTCCCCTGGCTCCCTTTTTCCTAGCCCGCTGCTCCGCTCTCTAATCCTCCTCCCTGCGCAGCCTCTTGTCCTCTTCCTCCTTATTGTCGCCATCCTCCACTTCCATGGCCTTTCGTTTTCCTGGCTCCGGCTCCCACCGTAAAGGCTCTTGGCTGGCGCTGGCTTTGGCTTCATTTCTCGTTCGTGCTGCCTGTGTCAGCCGGGCCTGCGGAGTGAGGGGTCTCCCCATCATTCCTGATTGTGGGCACGACCCCACCACACTTACTCTGGGTCGCTCAGGCGCTGACTCAGGACCAAAGTCGTAGAGGAACACCTTGGGGATGTTAGACTTCCATTTCCTCACTTCATCACACTGGCCCACCAACTTCTGTTGGTACCTCCCCATCTTATCCAGCAGGTCCTCCATTTTCCCCAACAAGACGGACGAAGGTTCCATCCTTTCTTCCTCATTCTCGTCATCTGACTCAATGGTTATGGACTCTTCCCTCTTACTTTCTCCTCGTAGTCCTTGAGTCACTTCCTCATCGCTCCCCACTTCCTCCACCCCAATCGGTGGTTCCCCCTTTTCCTGCCATAACCTGAACATGGCAGGGGGTGGCAGCCCAGCTGCCGCCCTTCGTTGGGCTTCCGCCCTCACTCCTTCAAGCCTTATGTCAATAGCCTCCCCAAATTGATCGTAGATGTTCCCATCCATAGTGGAGGAAATCAGCCCGCTCCTCTCGTCTTCCCGTCTTATATTACAGAATCTTATAGTGTGGCCTTGTTGGTCACAATATTGGCAGATGGCCGTCCTCCAGTCAAAACGGGGTCTTCCATACCCCTGACTTCCCTGATCCCCCTGGCCTTGATACCCCTGACCCTGATTCCCTTGGCCTTGGTACCCCTGGCCTTGACCATTCCATTGCCTTCCTCTTCCGCCGCCATTCCTGCCTCGCCCCCTTCCTCCACCCCTCCCTCCGTTGCCTTGATTGCCCTGCCCCTGGTTCCCACCTCCAGCCACGCTTCCCTGTGAACTAGGGGCAGGTGACGGTGGCGGGGCCACAGGCTGGGCCTGGGCTGCGGGGTAGATGGGTGGCGGCATACTCGTTTGCGGTCCGGCTACTAGTGGCGGGCTACCCCATGGTACAATTGCATTAATCACCGGCCAGGGCCACTGTCCGTAGGAGGACGCCCCTTCCTGCGAGGGGCCTGTACTAGGAGAGAAGGTTAACAACAGTCATATTTTTCATCACCACTTCAGGACACCCTTCACCACTTCCGGATGCAGCCTGCCTAAATAGGTGGTTTTCAGGGTCTTCGGACCTTTCACCACTTCAGGACCATTCAGGTCTGAAAATCCCGAATGGTCTTGAAGTGGTGAAAGCTCCGAAGACCCTGAAAACCACATGTTTAGGCAGGATGCATCCTCAAGTGGTGAAGGGTGGTTTTCATGGTCTTCGGACCTTTCACCACTTCAGGACCATTCAGGATTTTCAGACTTCACAAAACTCTCACTTGACCACTTCAGGACACACTTCTCCACTTCAGGATGCAACCTACCTAAACAAGTGGTTTTCAGGGTCTTCGGACCTTTCACCACTTCAGGACCATTCAGGATTTTCAGACTGCCAAAAACTCTCACTTCAGAATTTTCATTCCTGAATTTTCAGCTACCCGATAACCGCTTGTGTGTACTAGATGATGAAGCTGCTATATTTAAAGGGGTCGCTGTCAAGGCCTGAGGCGCCTCCGCTTTTCCTGATCCCTGTTCGCCCTGCGCCAAGTTACGCACTTTGCGTTGGGCCTTCGTCATGCGCTGCGGCACCGGCTCTTCCTCTTCCCAGAGTTCCTCCTGAACAGCTTCCTCTATCACCGGCTCCTTTCCTTTCACTTGGACAGCCGTTACTACCCTCCTTTGCACCACCGGCTCTGTCGTATACCCCAGCTGTGCTAATACGTCTGTAACAATCCTTGTTACTCCCGGGGTCCCAGAAGCGGTTGCATCTCTTTCCTTTCTTTTCTGCCTTTGCAGGCGTACCTGACGTTGCTCCACCTGGTCCAAACACCCAACTTCAACCTCTCTGTCAATGGTGGCCCAGGTGAGCTTGGTGCTACCTCCTCCATGCCTCGTCAACTCGACGGCCTCTGATGCCGTGAGTAGCCCCAGGAAGATGGCGCACTGTGCTTCCTCCGAAATCCCATGGACCTTCCACGCCCTCTTCTTAAATTCTTGAACAAAGGCCCTTATCGTCGTAAAATCCTATTTGTTCATTGCCTCAAGGTCTGCGGTACTCGATAACCCGTCTCCCAGGCGGTATTTCCTCTGCATCCTCTCCTTGAACCTCTCCCAGCTACCTTGGGCTGCATCTATGACTTTCTTCACTTCCTAGTGGTAGCTGTGGAGGACATACTGAAGAATGAGTTGAAATTTTACAACGTCCGACCGCCTGACCAAAGCTTGTTCCACCCGTTCCAGCCATTCCGAGACTCTTTCCCCACAAAAGTGGAAGGTATCGACTTTAGGGATATTGCTCGGGTTCCTTTCATGCCGGTCAATGGCCGCAATAAGGTCATCGAGCGTCAGGCCCTTCCTGGGACCACCTGATGCACCGCCGCCTTGCGCCATCTTGACACACCTTTCTCTTCAAGCTCCCTGATAAGAGAAAAACAAACACATCCCTTTATTCAGCATTACACCTTGACCGGTCTATTCCATCCGTCCTACCTAACCCTTAGTACTTATTTTTACCCAATGCTACGCGTTCGTCCTTCATACCTTCCCTTACTCTGGTAGGTAAATTTCCTCACCTCTACTTAGTCATTCATTATCTCTCCTCACTTTTTCGTCCTTCCTTTATGCCTTTTCTCATTCACTTCTCATACCCGGATGTCGTTCCACCAAGGACAACGGTAGGCTTTCCGTTATCCCCGGCAACGGCGCCACCTGTCGAGCGCATCGGTCCGGCACCGCACCAGGGCAGCGCGGGACCCTCCCGGCTGCGTCACGCAGGAGTTGGTTTAAATCCTTCGTCGCAGACAATACATGTGGAGCTTCCTTAAGCCGCTC